TCTCTGAGGCTGAGTGCTGTGTGTGTGACATACCAGGATGTGGGTGGTGTGAGTCCCCTGAGCTGTGCACCCTGGCTGTGTCTGGGTAATGGGATGTGATGGGTCTGGGGGACCTGGGCAGAGCAAGAAGGGCTGGATGGGAACACTGCACAGCCTCATAGCAGAGGGATGGCTGTTGGAGCAGGGAGGTGTTTTAATTCACCTTTTTTAGATTTTCAGGGGCTGGTAGATCAGGGTATTGAGGAAAGAAAATAGAGAAACAAGATTTTTTTTTTTTGTAGAATTGATTAATTATAAAAAGTTGATGCCTGTTTCCTCTTGTTAGGTTTCAATATAATCATTTTACTGTTAGATTCAGACTAATATCTGCTTAACATTTTTCACTGTTTACTCTCTGTTGGAGGATTCTGCTTTAGGAGAATTTCCTGTTGGACCTCAGTCCTTCTTATCGAACTGGTTATTGATAAGAATTACAGCTGCTTGCTTTTCTCCATTTATACCCAGTACTTACTTCAGGAAATCATAAAGGATGATTATGTTATACTATCGATGTGATTTCACTTTTTAATTTTTCTTTTGTATGAGTGTATCCTTTTGGAATGTCCACACAATATCAACTGAACACACAGGTGGATTTTATAATGGTTTGCACTAACAGACTTCATAATAGAAATTTTGCTGCCAAAATAAAATCTGAAAATTTATTTTGCATAGGAGGTGTGTTTAGAAAACTTTTACTGACTCTACTTGGAGTATAAATTCCTTCTAACTTGAAAGAAAATTGAAGCTACAAGGAATGTACTTCCTCAGTTCAGCTGAATATTAGGAAAGATAAAACCGTTTACAGTGGTCAATGAATCATGGGGCAAATCAGTATCGTACTGATTTCAAAATAGGAACCTGAAATTTTTACTAAGAAGGCTGCCTTCATTGCTGGGCTGGTAAAGTTAGGATTTGTCATGCATTTCTATCAGTGGTGGTATTACAATGCCATGTCTGCAGACGTGTCTAACAAATTGATTGAAATACTTTTTAGTACCTTAAAAACATTCAATTTTTCCAACTCAGAATGATCTGATTTCCACTTGATTAACTATAATCTCAATTGTTACTCGAAATAACTCTTTCAAGAAATGTCACCCAACTTGTAAAATAAAATTCACTAAGTTTGATCAGCATTCTCTCATACCATAAAATCATCAGCATTTTTTTCCTGAAGTTGCTTCCTGTTTTTATTTCTTCATCACAAGAAGCAATTTTGTATTTTCAAATAGTCTCCAAGTGTCAGCCACTGGTTTTATTTCCTCTTTTATACAATTTCATAATTTCATTCTGTATTTGCTTCCCAGTCTGCAATGTAACTTCTTTCTCTTTCACTGTTTTGCTCTGTGGGTCAGGCTGGTACTGACATTATTCACTAAGTCATTTACCTTTGATACGTTTGACTGTTGGTTTCTCTTCTATTCCTTGTACTTGAGTAGTCTCTTTCAAATTGCCAGGACCAAAGCTTTTTGTGAAGGACTTTCGGAAGAACTCAAACATGAAAATGCTGCATAACAGAGTGTGCTTTATAGCCTAAAATCAGGTCTGGTGCACAGAAATGAAAAGGTAGCAAGTGTGACAACCATTTGTAGAACAGGTTGCAAAGATGTTCCTGGAAACCATGGGTCAGTAAGTCTGTCTTTGACAGAGGCACATTAGGGAAGTGTAAACAAGAATATAATAGGTCAGGACATTTGAAAAGGTGATGCAGCTTTTGCAGAGGGAAGTCACATCTCACAAAAATTACAGTGTATCTGGACTTTCAGAAAGCTTTTACACAAATGTCTTCACCAAAGCCTCTAAAGAAATAAAGAAATAAAACTAATGGGATGAAAGGTGGAGTTCTACTATTGATAAAGAATTGTTTAAAAAGAATAGCAGAAAAGTCTAGGTATCAATAGTCAGTTTTCAAAATGAAGGCAGATTAACAGCAAAGTCTCTGAGGTTCTTTGCTGACAACTGCACATTTTAACAGTCATAAAAAATATAAGAAAAGAGATAAATACATAACAACATTTCCTTAGGATAGTCAACTATAAACCTGACTGTATGAAACATGGAAGGCCTGTTCATCCCTGGTTCAGTTTGTAAGGTACTCAGCATCCCAAGTGGCATGTCAGAGAGAGCCTCAGCTGCTATGCAGAAACCTGCCAGACATTTACTCACATTACGTTTTGGAAAAAAAAAATTAAATTCCACAATATTTCAGTGGCACCCTACACTCCATTCTTCTTTTCTACAATGAAAGAAAAAAAAGGTATTTTATAAGAAAAGTAGGGAGTTTGTGGTTTTGATATTTTGAAATGAAAAGTTTTATCATAAAAATTCCGAAAGAATAGATTTAATTTAATTTCAACTGTGTCAACCTTTTACAATTTTTCCCTCTTGCATTTCTTGGCTGAAGCAATTCACTAGATTTACTTAGATTTGTACGTATTTCAGACATCTCAGAAGTCCATTTGGGGAAAAATGCATTTACTGTCAAACAAATACTGATCTATAATATGGTGTCACAAATTAATCCCAGTTGTAATATGGTGATGGTCAAACTTAACCAGGCATAATGTGGCCCAATACATCAAAATACAGGGCATTTCAGGAAATGAAATAATTTCTGGGACTAAAAGTTTACAGCTCATTATCTTTAAAGGAAAATTTGTTAAACTAATATCTTTATACTGCTTTCAGTTTTTCTATTATAGCATTTCTTTGGAAATGTTAGTGTCGATTGCTATCATATATAGGTCTGTAAATAGAAAAATGAATTAAAGTTTTACATTTAATCCAGAAGGTAAAAAAGAGTGCTCCCCTGAAGAGGAGGAGGTGACAAGGGACAGTCACCCTGAGACTCACTGCCTCTCTGGATCAATGTCCTGCATCTTTTGGTATTCATGGTTCACCATGATTTCCTGATGCCTGTTGAGTTCCTTTGTAAAGCCTTTGCTAGTGATTTTTTTACCCACACAGAACTGAACTCAGCAACAAAATCCAGTTAGCTAAACAAACAAACCTGAGGAGCTCAGGCTCTGGCCATGACGCCAGTGGCAGGATCCTGACAGGAATCTGTGGGAGGCAGCCCAAAAGCCTGTGCCAGAGGGTCCCCACCTTTCCATCTCTGCCCAGCCTTCATCTGCTTCTCTTCTTCAAGGAAAAGGGGGGGCTGGGATGTGGCAGCCCCTCACTGCCCTTCCCACCGCTGCTTTGGGCAGATCCCACCAGGCTGCAGAGAGATTCCTCTTCTCCATTGGTCTTTACGCCTCTGTCCACAGGGTGGAGGTCATGACTTGCATATAAGCCAGCCTGCACAGAAAATAAGCATCAAAGCTAGGATTATAGAGGCATCAGATCATGGAGCAGAATGGGAAGGTGGAAAGTGAGAGGAAATATTTGTGTGCCAAGGGGAACAACAGCAAAAAGATCATCTTGTCACAAAGAACATTTTGCCTTTGTGGTTTGTCTCTTGTTATGTGCCACCCACACAGAGCTGCAGTCCAGCTCTCTCTAGCACAGAAATTTAATGAGGAGGCTGGAGACTCCTGTAGGACCACTTTATGCTGCACTTTGATTGTGGATCAGGCAAAAGTGCAGTGACCCTTGGGAACCCACATTTGGAGCTGTTATTAGCAGGGATTGTGCTGGAGGGGTGAAGCTGAGGGCTGTCACTTAACAGTGTGAGGACCATTGTTAGAAAGGAATCTGTGTTGGTAGCAGGTCTCCAGTGAAGGGAAGAGGAAAATAGTTCAGCACTGATGGAAACATGGTCTTTTCACACTGCATTTGTCTTGTCTTCCAAGCACAAGTGTATCACATTAAATACAATTTCCTTTATTTCCAAGAGCCTTATATCTTTATTTCATAATTAGCATCTCATAGTTACAAAGAGAAAGAAACAAATAATGTCTCATGTCCTGTATGATTTTTCTGTCCTCTCAGCAAGATTGTTTTGGCTTAGTTGTTCAGTTATGTAATCTCTTATTAATCCTATTAAAAAAGCAGCAAAGATTTATCATGAGTGTTACTCCAATTTGCTCAATGGTGTTCTGAACATACTTTTCATTCTTTAGTAATATCTTATCAAAACAAGGTTGTCTTATCAACAGCTTTAACTGAAACAAAAACACTATTTTCAGGCTTTAGGATGGGAAGGATCTGAGAGAAGACCGAAGCACCTATGGCCTGAGAAATCCCATTTCAGGGAATCAGACCAGAGGAGATTTCTGATAAGACTTACCTACAGGCTTGAGCTGTAGAGTGGGATACAGAGAAATAGGAAAAATTCAGCAAAGCTGATTTAAAAAGGGGTTGATAATGGGTGACAGACACCAGGGTCATGTGCAGGGCATCTTTAACGCCTATTGGGGACCTTCCTGAGGGTCTGCTGATTCCGCTGGGGGCTGGTGTGTGCCCCCAGCCTAGGCATACACAGCCAGGCTACAGTGGGTACTGAGTGCTGGGTGGTGCACCACTTGCACTTACTGCAGGAGCCAGGTGAGCCTCAGAAAAATTTCACCTTGTGTTACAAAGATTTGGTAGGGATAGACCCCTGGAAGTCAAGAGCCACCCCCAGGACAGACCCCTGGTGCAGAACAGCACCTTAGAGAAGAAAGCAGGTGTGATAATTCCAAAGCCTGGAAGCGATCCGAGGCACAAGGAGAGAAAGAGTGAACCTAGCAACCCAACCAAAACTCTCCACTAAACTCTCTTTTCTTTCCTATGTTTTCTTCTGCTTTTTGTTTCGTTCTGATTCTGGAGGAAATAGTGGCATGCATTCCTTCCCCTTATGGCTGGGACAAGGTCAAGCACAAGTGGGTTACACCTGGGGAGAGTGTCCTTACTTTTTTGCAGAGCTGAGCTGTACTACAGGGATTTGCTGCCAGTTTGTCGATCTTGCATGGGATGAAACTCCTGACATGGTAATATAGGTTTATTTTTTTCAACTGTTCTGCTTTGTCTTCCAGGGTTTGGTATGACCACCCCAGCCACCGTTGGAGGCAAAATTTTTCTCATATTTTACGGCCTTATAGGATGTGCAGGGACCATTTTGTTCTTTAACCTGTTCCTGGAACGCTTGATCACAGTCATAGCTTATGTCATGAAGTCCTGCCACGAAAGACAGCTGAGGAGGAAAGGCGTTCTCCCTCACAACGGCCGGCGGGGCTCAGGGACATCTGAGGTGGACAGCCTGGCGGGCTGGAAGCCCTCTGTGTACTATGTCATGCTGATTTTATGTGTAGCATCACTCATCATTTCCTGCTGTGCCTCTGCAATGTATACACCAATTGAAGGGTGGAGTTACTTTGACTCACTTTACTTCTGCTTCGTGGCCTTCAGCACCATAGGTTTTGGTGACCTGGTCAGTAGCCAGAACATCAAGTATGAAAGCCAAGGCCTTTACCGCTTTGGCAATTTCGTCTTCATACTCATGGGGGTGTGCTGCATCTATTCCTTATTCAATGTGATCTCTATTGTGATCAAACAATCCATAAACTGGATATTAAAGAAGTTGTCCTGCAAGTGCTGCCACAGATGCCAAAGAAGATTATTTCGTTCAAGGAGGAACGTGGTAATGCCTGGAAATGTGCGCAGCCAGAGAAACATCTCCATCGAGACTGATGTTGTCAATGAGAGTGACACAGATGGACGCCGTCTGTCAGGAGAGATGATCTCCATGAAAGACTTCCTGGCCTCAAATAAAGTCTCATTGGCCATCATGCAGAAACAGCTGTCAGAAACTGCTAATGGGTATCCAAGGCAAATGAGCTGTAATTCAAAGCAAAACGGATTCTCTGGTGGGGTTGGAGCCCTGGCAATTATGAATAACAGACTGGCAGAGACAAGTGTGGATAGGTAAAATTGTAACAGTAATAACAGTGAAACAGTGTGAGCCATTTCAACAAGTATTGAAACAATGTGAATCAAGTGGAAGTAGCTAGGGAGAGAGTGCCACCAGAGGCTGGGATGAATGTGAAGGGCATACCTCCTGATGGAAGACCGCTGACACTTTTTGGGGGCTGTCACTTAATGTTTTTGAATTGCACCAGTCCCAGCCTTCCTTATTTCCCATCCCTCTGCTTCTCAAGCAGGTCACTGCAGAAGGAATTTAATTTAGCCTCCAGATCAAATTTCCATGTCCTGTTCTTTTCCATTTATGTGAGACACAGATTTCAGGATAAGAAATATGTGGGATGGGAAGAAACCAAGTGTGTCTTCTGAACACATCCTTAATTCAAAGGGTTTTTTTGAGCTTTCTGTTTTATTCTCATCATACCTGTTTCCTGAAAGTAGTTCATCTGAGACCAAAAGAGGAATAAGACTTTCTCTATGATATTGCAGATCTAATTTAATGAAAAATAGTATGAAAGTTGGTAGGTATATTTTTGGGTTATTGTGATGCGAATGAGGAGAGAATTTTGCCCTTAGAATTTAATTTAGTCTTTCCTTTAAGAGGATACTGTCAAAAGTGATAGAATAAAAATTTATCCTACTTTTGTTTTCTTCTCTTCATTTGCAAAACATGATTTTTTTTCAAGGCTACTTTTTCTTCTAGAATCGAATCACTGTGGCTTTCTGTTTCAAAAATATCAAATTAAATTAAAAACTGATGTATTTATGAGTGGTATGAATTATTCGACAGTAGCAATCAGAGACTTTTCAACTTTCTGTTCATATTTGGCTCAGTTGTGACTGAAGCAACTGAGTATCAGCATTGTGTAGTGCAACTAGTAACTGAGTTTACGCAACAGGCTTTAGTATGCAATTAGATTGTCATGCCAGCATCCAGGTATTATTATAAATGACTGTGATCACAGAATCACTTTGGCAGTGTCCTTTTTCTCTTTCATGTAATTCTGTAATTCTTCCCCTGTTTCTCTGGCTTTTGGTGATGATAATGACAGGATCCTGATTAGGGAGGTAGAAAATGTTTAACTCCTCGTTTTTCTCAATGAAATGTTCTGAGTGTTCATTATGACTAGAAAAGAAATTTCAATGAGAAGAGTAATTACAGTGAGAAGAACATGAAAACAGGAAAAGAGGTGATCTTTAATGACAGTGAAATCATCCTTTTTAATAGGTAACTGGAGAAATAAGGGATCAAATTACCATAAAGTCTGGAAAGAATTTAAGGCAGACTGGGCTGAATTCCTGATTCTCCTTTATCCATGCAATGCATTAAAGCTAAATAGTATATAAGAGTGTAAATAAGCAGAGTTGGTCACAAAGGACTGGAAAGGAGTAGTACATGCATCAGGACTAAATGTTGCCTCACAGCCAGAAAGACTTTCAGAATACTACCATTTTAGGGAATTTAAAACACCATATGCAGTTCTCATTTTCTCTCATACAGAACAATGCAAATAGCCTCTTCAGTTTAATTTCTATTGGGAATTAATAACATATCCTATTTCTTCATTCTGGCCAAAAGTTCTTTTATTTAGGTTTCTAATACTGTAGAATAACATTTTGATACACATTTAAAGCAATATTTGAATTTGAAAACAAAAACTTGGAATTCTTTCATATAATAAACTAACCCCAGATATTCAACAAATGTATTTAACCAGTGAAAAGAATTGCAGTCTCTTTTGACTTTATTAGAGGTAAAATCCTATTTAAAGTCAAATCCTACTGTCCTTAGTTACAAGGAAAGCTTAAAGCTGAAGTCATTAGTCCAAATTCTGATATTTATCAACTCAACTGTGCAGCAGTGGAATAACCCTAGCAGTATCCCTTCATATTTGCATCCATGTAAAAGCTAAACCAGCTCCCAAACCCTAACTTTGGTGAGAAAAGCAGTCTTATTTGGTTTTTTGTGGAGTTACATATTAGCAAAAATTGCCACAGAGTTAATTTAGATGGTATTATAATACCCAAGATCCATTACATTGTTACATTACATTTTTTTTTATCCCAAGACGTTCTTTGTCTCAACCTCACTGAATAAAAATACTTGGATATAAAAAGAGAAAAGTACTATTCTGAAGCCTTCTTTTGAGTTTCATCCAGCAATACTTCTGTTCACTGCCTGTAACACTAAGATCTCATTGTTATCGATGTATTCCTCATGCTGCCAACTAGCAGAAATAGTTTAGGACTTGACCCATTGCTTGAGCAATCATTAAGATGGTCTTCAGATGGTTTCAACTGCTCTCAAGACATGAGACAGTTATGTTTCATTCTTTGTGGTACCAAGCCTTGGTTATTCATCACCACAGAGGTATCTTACCAGCTATTTTCGACAGATCTGGAAGCATCTATGGTTGCAAAAGCAAGGGACTAATAAATAGTCTTGATCAAAAAGATTTGGCAAGGCTGTCTGAGATCACTGTTGTACACTAACTCTGCTTTCATTGAGTCCTGACCTTCTGCTCTCTCAAGCACTGCCTTCCTCATGACACAAGCCTGCCAGCTGAAAGGATCTTTGCACTGGTTTTGTGGTTGGATTTCATGTGCACTGAAGATAATGAGGGAATAACGGCACTGATCACCTCTGTTCAGATATGAATTGCTGTTCCAGACATGAAGGACTGGCATATTCTGTCCCTGTGCCATCTTGTATAATGATGTCATCCTGTCCCTAAAAGACCTCTGATTTTGCTGTTGAGTTCATCTTATAGCAGCCACACTACACATTGAATGAGGTAGCTTTACCAAGGAGACCAATATTCTTAGAGAATATTTGGGGATAAATAATAAAACTTTTAAGATCAGAGAGGGAAATTTCTACCTCCAGTCCCATGGTACTACTACAGTGTTTTTTTCTAAAGGCATTGGACAGAGAAATCCTGAAAAGCTCCGTGCATAATGTAGCATGAAGTTATTAAATTCATAAAACATGTGGAGATATAAACTTAAATGTGCCAAAAAAGAGCAGAATTTAGCGTAGGAGTGACAAATGCCCATCCTGTGTGAAAAATAAGTTACAACAAAAATACAGACAACATCGCATTTCTTGCATTACTTTTTAAAGTAGCAATGAGGAATTAAAGGAAAGAGAGATCTGTGTAAATTTTAATGCCATACTGTTTAACACTAAAATCTCAGTCAACAACAGAAACCTGCTTTCACAAGTAATGAGTTTCCCTATTGCCTGCTATGAATTTGCATGATGGCTAATGAGATATGGGTGTGGGTTTTTAAGGCAAAAATGCTTTGGTGGAAACCTTGGATGTATTGAGCCTCTGAATCTGCACTTAAGAGGTCAGCACTTAAAGAGTACCACTAAAATCAGTGGGTTAATCTGCAGGTTGGAGCCTGGCAGATTTAAACTCAAAGCCCTTAAAGGAGTAATCTACTGGAAGTTAGCCTTAGTTATGCCACAACTTAATAATATCATTATTGAACCATATAATTATTACACATTGGAAGGAAATATCTACTGCTAACCAAAATACAATCAAATAAGTAAAGATAGCTCTTAGGATTTTCTGCCTAGTTTAGGTTTTGTAACATTTGTGCATCAGATGCTTTGCTGGGTATGTAGATGTCAAAGCAGCTACACTCATTTATCTCCATGAAGGACATGGATCTCTTTTTGCAAGGACATGAATAGACTTTTTAAAGGCATTTCATTCCTGCTGAAAGTCAATCCACTTCCCACCACACATTGACTTTCAGTAGAAGTCAGGTACCCAATTCCCTTAGGCAATTTCAGAATCCCAGCCATATATTAGGTTTTGAATCTAAGCTGACCTGACAGTGTCCCTGAAAAGTTCAAACACTTGGAGCAAAGTTTCAGTGCTGCAGCACTCTAATAGCTGAGTTCATTTATCTAAAAGCCTTTTATGGTGAAAGCTTTGCATCAACCAAATAACACAAGCAATGTTTACAGTTTGTTTGATTTAATCTTGGCCTTTGACAGATTTAATTATATTTGACACATTTATAAATTAGAGAACAAAGAGAAGGTAAGGCTGGACATGAAAACTAAACCAGCTCCATTTCTCAGACTGAATTAATCAAGAGAAAGAGGTCAGGTTTGGAAAAAAGCTTCTTGATTAACATTATATTTGAATAAAGTTTCTGTGGAGATGGAGGGTATTAAGTTGTTCGGGTGACTCCTTTCCAACAACTGTGGAAGTGGAGCTGTTTGTGTGACCCGCTGATGTCCCCACTCTGGGAACAGAAGCTCAGTGAGCCTTAGCTGAGAGAAGGGTCAGCATTTCAAATAATACAGTTGGCATCTCTTGTTTTACTAACACTCGGCTTATATAGTAATTTCTTAGATTCTTCAAGAAGTAGTGAAGTTATTTTGTCCAATTTCATGTACAAACTGTGGAGAATCACCAAGTGTTTTCTTTCCCCTGGGTAGAAAATACTGCCAAGTACAATGTGCCTATTTGAGAATGTTCAGAGTAGTTTTTTGCTTAATCCAGGAAATAAGAATGCAATCCCTTCCCTGTTCTGTATTTTCCAAACATCTATGAGCAACACTGCCTACACAATACTCTGCTTATTGCTTACAAGGTCACAATTCACTAGGAAAATTAAAGCCATTGCTCATCAGTGTGGACAAACACAGTCTTATTTTTTATTAGATTTAAGAGAAACACAGTGTGAACACAAAGAATGGCACTTCAGGTCCAAGTAGTCAGAAGCTTTTTGATATGACCTGTGTTTAAAGAGCTGTTTCATGTCAAACCAGAGAAAAACCCTGTCACTGCAGACTTTTAAGGGCATTAGTAAATGTAAAAACAACCTTGTGGAATAGATGCCCTAAGTTTTATTCTGGTTTTCTACAGTTTCACTCTAATATTTGCCTGCAGTTTTTATTATTTGAAATTATTTGCAATAATAGAATAAATAATATAAATCTGCAAAGATTTTGAGAGGCATGATCGTCAGATATGTTTTAAATTAAATATTTTTTTCCTCAGGCTGCCTAGCTTTTTGTAAAGGGAAACTTTGATGAAAGGCAGAATCAACTCTTTCCAAGCAAGGGTACAGTTTCTGGATTCAAATGGATTTCCTGTTAGGTGTACATGCAGAAGCTCACAGAGAGGCAAGATGGCCTAGTTTTCAAACATTATCTTTTGAAATGTCTTTCAAAGCTATTCCCCTTTTAAAGACATAGAACACTGTCAGTGTTTACTTTTTGTAGCTTTATCTGAGAAAACTTAACCTTGCTTTCTGATATATTTAGAAGAAACAGATGCTCATGAAGAAAAATGAAAATAACCTTACATAACCTTTACATGTATCTCTTGGAGCTGCTGAAATCCTCTTCTTTATCCTAACTTGAAGATTACATCAGAGTTTAATTTCTCCAGCTCACCAAAGAGGTTTGGTCTTACTAGTGAATAGTCACAGTTCAAAACCAAGAACTCTAAAGTTGTATTTGTTCATCTGTTCTAAATGCTGCAATGAGCCCGTGGGTGCCATCTAGTCTCCAAACCCTTTTCCAAAGCAGGCCTAGCTAGTTCCTGCCCTTCTCTGTGCAAATATCTGTCATTTGGCAGGCAATGCTGCTTCTGCATGTAGCAATCTGTTCGCAGTGCACTGAAAGTGCCCTTCTCATATGAAATACTGACCAGCACCCTGTACCAAGAGAAAGTCACAGCCCCTTCTCTGAGCTATTGCATTTAGGCAAGCACTGAACTCTAAGTTAAACACATTTCTTCATAAATAGCATTCAGGTAGCTGCTTTTCTCAATCTAATACATAGCAGATGGGTATTTTGATCCCTAGGTATCATTATTGTTGGCACTCTTAATTGAGATGGCAAGGACTGAAAAGGTCAGTCTGTCTGCCCTAGGCTCCTAGGCAGGGTCATTAATTACCCTTTTAGCAAGCAACTTATGGCACTGTGGCTTGGCTCTGCACATTGGATGTGCAGAGTTCTCAGGAGTGGATTCTGATGCACTGAAATCAATGAAGACTTTGCTTCTGGATTCTTTATCTGGCATTTTTCACAAGAATTAATTCCACTTCACAAAATAATCCAAAGAAATGTGACTATCCTCTTACTTTGCTTTTACCACTAGCTGTGCAAATGCTAATTCTACTCATGCAGTACCGTGTTCTGTGCTAAGTTATTGCCCAGGGACCATTATTTGGTCTACAAAATAATAACCTACTTCTGATGAAGACCTGCTTAAAATTGAAAGTATCCAGATTATTGTCTCTAAGAATTGTTTGGTAGTCATTCATTTCCTCAGCTGAAAAAACTGTGACAAATAACACATTTTCCATGAAAATTCATTCTGTTCTACAAGGGTAGATTTTGCTCTGTGCTGACTGTTTGTGTCAGCTCATTCTTTCCCTCAGCTTTCTTCTCTCAGTCCACACCTGCAAGATCCTTCTCCCTCCTTTTTTTCTTTCCATTTATCTTTATCTCAGTTCATCAAATCTTTCTGCTAGCCAAATATACCATGGGGTTTGTCTCTGCTGAACATTGCACTGGGAAGTGGTCTCTGTCAAAAAAAAAGCAGAGCCATACCTCATTTACTAAATGGAATGATAAAGATGTGGTTTTATTATTTTTCATTCATAGGCATTTGAGTGAAATTTTTTACACCAGTATCAGAGGCAGTGATAAGATGTTCTTAAAGCATTTTTGATGTCTTATGGAAGAAAAGTGCAAGGGTTCAGACTGCACATATGTGTCCCTGTGTCTCTGCTCTCTTTTACACATTGGCCAGTTTCCAAAAAAATTGCCAAAAGGGAGGACATCTCACACAGAATCAACATCCTACCCCTTTTGATAAATGTTGGCACCCCACCTGAGAAAAGGTCTGAGAAGCAGGCTCGCAACCTGTTAGATACAAGAAAAGCCACACAAAGCAAGTCAGGAGGTAAAGAAAGTGAGGCACACAGAGAGACTGATGTTCTGAATGTTCCATCAGCTGAGAAGGTGTCAAACAGAGCTTACACCTCCTCACACTTGCAGCACAGATCCAAAGGGTAAACAGCAAGTGTTGTGATATTTTAGCACCTCAAAAAAAAAAGATCCCTTTATTCTGTCAGGATTTTAACTTCTTTATTCACAGCTCTATCCCTGCTCTTAGCTCTTCTACCTTCTTG